GGGTTTGGTCAGGTATTTCTCGGACAGACGAACAAGTTTGAAACGAAAAACTGACTTTTTTCCCAAATAATCTTTATTCTTTTTAAAGTTATTTAAAAAAGAAACAAATAAAAAAGCAGGAGACATATTTACATACAAGAAAAATAAATATCCAGAGACCTTTTGAAAGCAATACATAAGCCTAACCATTTACCATACAGTGGACCCCATTTCAACATATGTTTATCCATTTTCCCACAGTTTTGTGCTGTCGCATATTTTAATCTGTGATAGTTGTAACTTGAGTGTCAGACAGATCTGCGCCTCTCTGCCTCTGGTCCGTGATGTGCGGACATGATTTATGTGTAACGCTACATATCAAAAATTCCAGGAAGATTTCATGCTTAAATCGAAACAGATGATCCCCTCTGTCACCGCCTGTGTCCAGATCTCGTTCCATTTCGTTTCCTGTGTCATACCGTACAGTTGGAATTTTTGTGCTCTTGTCACTTCGTGAAGTTTTCTGCTCTTGCCACTTCGTGAAGTTTTGTAATCTTGCCACTTCGTGAAGTTTTGTGCTCTTGCCACTTCGTGAAGTTTTGTGCTCAGCCTCTTTCCACTTCGTGGAGTTTTCCCGCTGTTTCGTTTCGCGTATTCCTTGACGGGCAGTGTGACAGTCGTGCTGTGCGATAATTTCAAGTTTTCCAACTTCACTTTCGACGCCGTCGCTAGAAAACCGTCGACAGAGCTGACATTCCAGACATGGTGCCGGTATCAGAGATGGTAAGTGATATGTACATTTCTACTATGTTATATGTTACATCTACTCTACTCTACTTCACTCTATTCTACGCACAGTTTTAGTTCCTAAATACCATACGCCTACCAGGCCAAATTGAGTTTTGCATCTTAAACGTGTCCAATGTTTTAAATTTGGGGGAAAAAGAAACGATTTGACATATTGGGATTGTAAGTGAAATCAATATAATTGTGATTTATTTTGTATGCTTAAAATGGCTAACAAAAATCCTTGGGTCTGATCGAGCCAATACGGCACGACGTATTGAAACTTTTTTTTAGTCGCCACGTGGTAAGAAAAGAACGAGTCACTGTCACTCAGCTCGGATGCCTACCCTTTTCAAATTATGCACACCCCGGTTTAGCTTCGGATCCGAGCTTTTTACTACGTCTTAGCTAATATCTAGTGGACTTTGCCAAACACTAGTTACCATATATTTCTGTGCTTTACTTATAATAGTCAATACTCTTCGTGCGAGCGAGGGCGGAGGGTGAAATAGAAACGGTGTAGTGCACTCGCGATGTCAACCAAATATACACAGCAAATGAATCCTATTAATTGATCTCCTGTCTGTTCACCGACATAGATCATATCAATGCATTAAAAATCACCAACAGTTGTTTATTAAATCACCAGCGTGTGCAAACTTCCCGTTCTGTAGTTCACCCACACCCCTCCGCATCGGCCTTAATGGAATAGTCCAAATGAGAGATTCGTTAGAAAAGTTTGAAACTGTCACAGGCTACCCTGGATGCCAGAACTCGTTTCTCGGGCGGCAAGAGCCCTTCGCCCGCCGGTCTAAATTACCGCTACGGGGGAGTCTAGCCCGGGGGGAGGTTGGCCGCCCTCCAAACGTTGGAGGAACGATAAGCTTCCCCGGTTGCCGAAGGAAACGGTTAGCGGTCCGTAAACATGGCTGGCACCCAGGGTAGTCACAGGCCAAGTCACAGGCCATATATACGATTCGAATCTCCAAGCAGAGGTTGTTGGGGAATGATCGTTAGCTTTTTATATATGGCCTTTTTTGTCTGTACACCCACCAACAACCCGTCGTTGCCTAATGGGTACTGTCTGGCCAATGGATACTGGTACTGTCTTTTTGCCACCGCCATAGGGATCTGCTTGGAGATTAATACGATTCCTACAAGGAAGATTGAGAAAGTTCGATACAGAGCATGAAGTCATTTCTACCCTAGGGTGGTACAAGATAGTATCAAATTAGCCAGGTAGTATCCATTATCCAGGGAGCGTCCATGTAGCGCCGGTGGTCTGAGAAGTCCGGGCGTGGCCTTAACATATAAACACAGATCAAGGCGACAGTAACGTGCAGCGCGCTGATGCCTAATCTCCAAGCAAATCATATGGTGGCAAGGCAGTATCCATTGGCTAGAGGCGTGTCCATTAGCCACCTTCGGTGCAAAAAGTAATAGAGCACGGTTTGAGGCTGGCTGACTAGTCGACTACTGCCCCGCCCACCAAGGGGATTTCATGTCTCCTCATACATGTCATAGGGCGAATTATGTGTATTGCTACCTTCAACCCACACGGGAACTGCCAACAGTGTCATTCAGACTTTCAGTGGCAGTTGCTTGGGATATCTGGTACTGACGTTGGTTCAAATAAAATACAAGTTTATTTCACCGCCCCCAATTTTATTTCACGGACCCCAATGCTTTACTACCTGGGGTGCCAGAGTATACAGTGCAATTTTTTGGAATACATTGCAATTTTACAGAATACAGTGCAATCGTATTAGTAATACAATTTAACGTCCGCCGCACGCTGAATCAGGCTGGGAATGCTTTCTCGGCCTGGTCAGGCACGCAGCCTGGTATGCGGTGTGTGAAAACAATTAGCAACGCTTAACTGCGCTATAACGCTATAACGCTAAGGGATCGACTCAAAATCTAAATAAACAACCTTTATTTACAACTGCAATTTTACTAGTACTATATAGTATACAGTGCAATTTTACTTGTAGAATTGCACTGAACTAATACGATTACTCTGTATTCCGTAAAATTGCACAATATACTAATACATGTATGATTTCAATGTATTCCGTAAAATTTTGCTGTATACTTATACTATTGTACTGTATTCCGTAAAATTGCAATGTATTCCGTAAAATTGCACTGTATACTCAGCACCCTGAATTCTGGGATACAGAAAAAGAGAGTTGAGGAAAACCTACACCCTGGCTGGTACACTGAGGGGGTGTGTGTGATTATGTTCCCCAAAGATGAAGTTCATTGATGTCTCCCTTGAGCAATTCTTATACCCAGTGTCTGTGCCCTATCCCGAGGCTTGTACAGCAGTGTGCCAGTATACCTACCAACACCACAGTCTGTTCTACCACTTTGAAGAGAAAAGGCTACATTTCAATAGAGAATTTTCTTTTTCTTTCAACTTTTATACCTGGTATAAAAGTTGAAAGAAAAAGAAAATTCTGAGCTACCGCACTGTGCTACAGTATGAAACCCCCAAAGTCACACACATACAGCCAAGAATAAACAGCTGGAACCCCCCTGCAAACCCCAAATCCTATTTCTGTTACAGAAAATGTTGCCTTTATTACACCCATACCATGTAGAGCAATATCCATCCTTATTTTGGTTCCAACAATCACAAAAATCACTATTTTTGTGTGCTCAGGGGGGGGGGAGGATGTCCCTGAGGCAGGACACATTTTGATTGACAGCTATTAATTGGTGAAAATTTCTGTTATAAACCATTATAAGTCACCATCATCTGCAACAAACCTGTATCACTTTTGCAGTCATCTAAGCTTTCCAAGCTGTTTGTGGCAACTTTGATTATCCAGTATACACACTGCCCATAGGTAAATAATGGCATATCATGCTGATATTAAACTTTTGCTAAGAAAACATGCAAAGCATGCACCCATATCCCCCAAATTGTGTCATCAGCTAACAACAGGTACTAGTAGCTGATATTCAAAATAAAAGTTACCAAACCTAATCCACTCTATGAGTTTGAGGGGGGGTGTTCAGGGCAGACAGGACAATAACATTTGCCCATTGACACCTATGGTAAAATACACTAAAACAAGTCCCTATGAAAGTAGTTTCTCACTTCTCAATCTCAAAAATTTTTCTACACCAGAGAGCCACAAGGGTCTGCTTTCCAAATATAGAAAGAAAATAGGGAGTTGACCTGCTCAAACTCTAACAAACCCTACTTTTGACCTAATTTTCTCATGTATCCATCCGCCCTGGGCAGGCCAGACCTCATCACTCAGGTCTCTCACTATGGCCACTAAACTGGTGAAATGAACAAAATTTGACCAAAGTAGGAAAGTGTAGACCCAACCTGTTCTTTCTAGCCCCAAAATCTCCAAGCTGGACCAAAATTTTCAAGAGAAAAAAGGATTTTCAAAGATTTAACTTGGAACTAACAACGCAAATGCGGTGTCTGCCCTGAATACAGGAAGTACCCAACGGCCCGGGATCACGTCCCCCCCCCCCAGTTTTTTTCCGGATCACTAACTATTAAAGGCCACATCAAGTAAATCCTATGGATGACATTCTCCACAGACTAAAAATCTAATGCGAACGGGCGAAAAAAAAAGGATGGCAAAAAAAAAAGGTTCGCGCATTTTCAAATTCTGATTCAATTATTGTATACTAAACGGTTTTGATTCAGTGGGAACATCACATATACACAGCCAGCATCACATATCACTGCGTCAAAGTAAAAAAAACCCATTAAATTAGCCTTTTCTTGTTTCCTCTCTTCATAGTTATCTGCCATCCACGTACCGGCATGGTAACAGCTATCTTTGCCCATTTTCGGCATGTTGACCACTGTCAGAGGGCAACAAAATTCCTTTTTTTCCCAAAATCAGGCGAAAATCAATGCCATCCATAAAAATTACTTGTTGTGGCCTAACTAAAAATCTCTCAGAACGTTAGGAGAAACTACAATGATACCCTTTAGCAAGAAAAAGTTGGCCGGAATAATGGTTAATAAATTTGACCAGGTGAGAAGACCATTAAATTGCCCGTCATAAGGCCCTTGGACAGAATCTACCCGTATGGCAGGTGTCAAAGTGCAAAGTGGGTGAAATCTCAGCAATGGTTTGGATTTGTTGTAGTCGTGGAATAGAATTTGGATAAATTTAATTAGTTTAATCGTATGTAAGTTTGCTGAGATGGAATTAAACTGGAAGTCCAGAATTAAACTGGAGGCTGTTAATAACTTTTCAGTGTGTAAGGAACTATTTGAAAACAAAACTCAAATGCGTACATTAAATGAAAAGATTAATACAAATCATTATTGATTGAAACAAATGCCTTACGAATACCAATTCAGCAATGTACCGGTATATATTTTATTTCCATCAGGATAAGAGCCTGTGTGATGTCTGTGGCAGTTTGTTTGCCACATATGTCCTGCTGAAGCAGCACATGTTGGCTGAGCACCCACAGAGCCGGAGTGACACTGACAACTTAGGTATGAAATGGAGTACCTGTGAAAGGTTTCATGTTTCACAATAATGGCCTATATACTAATGAGTAAAATAAGTGTCTTTATTTGTATGTATACATATTTAGATATATTTGTCTTTCTACTGTTATCGTAGTATTTTAATTTTGTCATCACCCCAATTCAGCCTAAGGGCGAATAGAAGTGTTATGAGATGCACCTGCAACCTGTAATGTCTGAGTAAATAAACCATTACCAACATAAGATGACATTTTTTATATGCATAATATATAAGGAATATATTAAACCTGCTACCTTCCAACATAGAAGTGTTCACACTTGTGACATATGTAATGGAGAACAAATAGAACATCATCAGATATTATGTAAATGAAGAAAATGCTATGATACCAGTGGTAACTGAGGAGAGTGTCGTGGTAGCAGCATTTGGAAGTTGAGTGAAAATTGTTGAACAAAAATTATTCAAGTCATGATCTTATGTGCATATTTTATGACAAAATACTGGAATAGCCTTATTTTATAAGTCTGTCTGACTCATTAATCCACAGCTGGACTAAACCATGAGCACCTGACACAGCTTCAGACCAACCTCCGTCGAGAGCACCTGGCTGTGAGATTTGACCCCAAGAAGGATGGCAACTGCCAATTCGCAGCCTTCGCTGATCAACTGAAACGTCTGGGGAAGGTGAAGGGGAATCTCACAGCCATGCATCTGAGGGAAATGGCTGTCTCATACCTACGGGAGAACCGTGTGTTGGTAAGAGCCTCAGCTAATAGATTGCCATGCCAAAAATGTACATTTTCAACATTCTGTTATCTATGAGGGTCTGCATGCTCTTTTCCGTAAGGCGTAGGCGGGCCTTTTTAATTTCCCGTAATCCGTAGGGAAGTTATTTTATTTACCGTAATTCGTAGTGAGGAGGCGAAAATTTCCCGTAAAGCGTAGCCAGCGCATTTCACGTAAAGCGTAATCGAGCCTAAAAATTCCCCGTAAATCGTAATCTGGACTCCCATTTTTCGTAAGCCGTTGCAGACGAACCAGCAACCAGCGGATGACCTGTTAGGTCAACGTCGTACCCAGGATTTCTTTTGTCTATCCTGGACACAAGAGCACCCATGACATCAGTGGAATTCTGTGCTATTATTGGTCAGTATTGGCCGGGTGGCGGGAGCACATCTGGAGTCAATCTCAGTCGCATCTTCATCTCTGCTTCATCTTGTCTGTCCCTTTCTTGCCTGTCCCATCTGGGTCCATGTGTGCGGTACAATCCCACCATGGCTCACGTGATGCCCGTGATTGTGCGCATTTTATCTCATACGGTGCTCCGGTGGGTTGTCTATCAAGAGGCGGCATCTCCTTTTTTTATCTTGTTTCACGAACTGAAATTCTTCGTGAACTTGTTCACCCCGTTTCGTGAAATTTACGAACATATTTACAATGCATGTACTTTTATTTTCTCAGTCGTAAAATGTACTGATGGGCACATGAATGTACCGAAACAAAATCTGTATTAGTTCGTTGGTTAGTTGCTCAGAAATCGGGCTCTAAAATACACCAGAGAGCCTCTCAATGTTACAAATTTCCTGGGGGAGGCCCCCAAGCCCCCCAAAGAGAGGGGGGAAACCCCCCCTCTCGTGCTCTCCGCCTGCGCTGACGCACTGCGCTTACGTGGTCACGTCAGGTGGTGCGCCCCCCGCCGTTCATAAATTTCTGGATCCGCCGGTGATGCAGGTTGGTGAAGTGAATGTTCTAAAGTGGGTTCCGTTATGCACCAAATTATGAATGCTGTGTGAAGTACCCGGCATGCGCGCTTCATTGTAAGGTGTACGTCACAGCTATTGTTTGCGACGTTGTCGGTGAATTTGATCCGTCAACGTTGCAACACCAACTCGAATTTAGCGTTATTCGTAGCGAAGCGCCAGAATTTAGCGTAAAGCGTTGCCGGCCTCCCGGAATTTAACGTAAAGCGTTGCGAGCCTCCATAAATTTTGCGTAAAGCGTAATGTTGACCCCCCATGCAGACCCTCATCTACATAATTGAACACAATGAAATGTACTAAGAAAACAATTTAAGTGTAACTAATTATAAAAGATTACAATGTGTGTGTATGTAAAAAAAATAGAGGTGATAATATAGTTGAATTGATTTTTTCACTGAAAAGATTGATAGATTCTGTCCATATGCACCTTAACACTTAGTCACATAGTGAAATTGAAAAACTGAATCCATAAACGATATGTACTGGTAATTGTAGTTTGCAACAATTTATCATTCTATCATTCCTATAGCCAGGTTTCCAGAGAAGACCTAGACGGGTTCGTCACTGAAAACTGGGATGACTATCTCAGAAAGATGTCACGAAATGGAGAGTGGGGTGACCACATCACCCTGTTGGCCCTTGCTGACATATTCCAACTGCCAATCCATCTCATCTCTAGCTCTTCTGTAGGTTATTTTATTTACATATTATCTATTTAATAGGCACTCATAGGATAGCAGTTTAATGTACATGTGAATGAAAACACTCTGTGTTGGGGGTAATTAATAATTTTGATCAGACATACATACATACATACATACATACATGTGTGGCTTTGTGCATTTACAGATTACATTTAACCCTGTCACTAAAACTTAAGAGCATCTGGACAGCAAAGATTGAGGGTCTCATAGCGGCCTTCATTTATGCAGCAGTGCTGTATAACATGCAGGTTTTGATAAATGAAGTACTAAGGATGTTCAATGTTGTTTCCCATAGAATCTGCAGGATGAGTACGTGGTAAAAATCAACCCATCATGGTCATCTCCTTGGAGAGCGGGGGAACGTCCTGTCCTCCTGGGCTATATAGCAGAGACTCATTACATGAGTTTGGAGATTGCCGAGAAGGTACGTTTCTCTTCAATTGTACACATGTATGTGAGTGTAATGTGTAGACCACAGTAAGAATAGCCTCTTATGAGGATAATTGTGGATCTGAATAGAACTCAAACTCAAAAATTGCCATGGTGACCACCTGGCCAACGCGACTGCCTTGCGTTGGGTCCATGCCCAGGGTGAACACATCATTTTCACCTCCATGAAAATGGAGGTATTGTTTTTGCCACGTCTGTGTGCGTGTTTGTGTGTATGTGTGTTTGTGTTTCGGCACATTTGTACCTTCATAACTCCATAACGCCTTTATGGATTGTTATGATATTTGGTATGCTGGTAGGTCTTAGGAGGATGAAGGTCAAGGTCAAATATGGTACTGCAGCAGCACTTCCGGTTTAATGAGGAATCTCCTTCGTACTTGTGCGAGCCAGGGTAACAGATGCGCTTGCGACCCAGTTTGATTAATGAGGGGAATTCCCTTCAGACTTACATGTAGGGTTAGGGTTAGTATTAGCTGTGTGTTTGAAGAACTTAGTGTACTGTGTAAAAACATTTACAAAAACTCATATATTTCATGGAGGTATGAAGTCTCTCAAATTCTTGTTGACCATGTTGATAATTGATGATAACTCATGAAGGAGATTCCTCATTAAACCGGAAGTGCTGCGGCAGTACCAAGGCCATACACCAGGAGGCCCATATTTGACCTTGACCTTCGTTCTCCTAAGACCTATCAGCATACCAAATATCATCACAGTCCATAAAGGCGTTATGGAGTTATGAAGGTACAAATGTGCGGAAACACAAACACACACACACGCACACACACACGCGGCAAAAACAATACCCCCATTTTCATGGAGGTGATCATGGAGAGAACCCAGCCAGTTTTCTTTAACTTTTTTTTCGTTTTCTGGATGATGTTTTTGTTCGAGGTAATATTGTTCCATGTGCCACCCTCCCCACACGCATTTACAGCTTTTGACATTAGAATATCTCGACTTGGATACCAATAATGGCTCAGTCATGTTGTAAGGTGACCCTCTTCAAGGTGACCACTTTTCTTTGGTACCCCGGGTGACCGGCTTGGACATGTTTGACTGTACATGTATGTGAATCAACATACCCAACATGGCCTAAAGGCAAAAATTATTCATTTCTGACACTTAGTTAATGTTACATTGTATTTAAACTGACACTTCACTTGAATGTCTGTTCCAGACTCATGGACGAGTTGAAACTGACAACAAGACAACAAAGAACCTGGAAACAAAACACATGGACAACTGGATGGAAGACGGCTGTTATTCTTACTGTCTTCCTGAGGATGTGCAGATCGTGTCACGCTGCCTGTACTTGGACATCCCAACCACACCAAACAGGTTCAGTGTACTGGGCAACAAAGAGGTAATTAACTTCAAAGCTTGCATTCTTGTTTGTGTCTGCATACACAATGACTGAATGAATGAATAAATGCTCAGATGGGTTGTCTTGACATTGGGATTTATGCTAGACCACATGGCGACTAGTGGTATTGTAACAGCATCCCCAGTTTTGATACCTCGCAAACTGGACATGCTAATTATGCTAGGGTCACACATGTACATTTCTGTGGGTAGATAGCTTTTGAACTTCTAAAAATGTGACATGTCCTGGAACTGCATGTGGATTTGATTAAACATCTATGGTTGATGGATTGCTGTTTGTACATATATGGACATTTAAGAAATGCTTGACTGACACAGACATAATTACAATATAGATGACATCAAAAATCAGACTCCAGATTGAAAACAATACACTGTGACATTTTAATTTTTCATGGAGATATGTTCAACTTGGAATTTTGATGAAAACAATGAAAGTAGAGCTGTACAACTCATCAACCTAACAAAA